CTTAAAACTAAATTTGATAATCTTTTTTACAGAATGATTTTAAATACAAAAAGAATTCACAACTCCTTTTGAAGAAACTTCCCCGCAAGAGCTAAACAAACGCCTTCAAAAGTTTTATATGTCGCCAAGAAAAAGCGACGACCGCGGCAGTTCGGTCATCGGGCGCCAAAATTGTAATCGTTGGCAACATGAGTTAAAAATCACCATTTTTGTGCTTAATTATCTCACTGTTTTAGTATATACTAAAACAATTATTCACTCCAGTGTCAGTGGCTGGTAGTGGCTATTTACCTCGCCGCTTCGCGGCATCGGTAAAACCCATACTAGCCACCTCCACTTCGGTGAATAATTGTTATGTATTTTCTCGCTATATGTGTATTCAGTAGACCGGAAAAAATATTCCCTATTTAGCCTCGCTCTCGGTCTGTTTCACAAGTAACAAGAGGCAGGACATCTCTGCGTTATGTCACTAATGTTTTAAATAGCCTAAATAAAACTTAATGTAAGCTCCCCAGCAAGCATCAAGAAGAAAACAAGACAACAAAACACTATATACTATATAGCTGATTATATTCCGATGATTTGTTAGTTTGTTTCCTTTGGTGGGGAACGGGTTGGACTAATTAACTTCCCAACGCGCTAAAATGTAGGCACGAATGAAGAATGTAATCTTACAGCCTCGACGTGGCCTTACTCGTTGCATGTTAAGCTCAATTCACTTGCAATTCGTTAAAAATGATCAGAAAAACAAAACAAATATAAACAATACAGTTTGTATAGCAAGTCAAAAGAATGTCTACTGCCTATATCCACCTAATTCAACATCAGTTAACAAAGAAGTCAATGATGATTTCGGTGGGAACTGCAACGGAGACTGTGTTAGTGAAGAAAAAGGACAAGGTTCTGTCGTCACTCTACCGGATAGGTATAAAAAGGGAGTATCCTGCCTAGTATAAATGGCGGCTACACGGAGCTGAATCAAGTCGCTCACAGACATGTCGAACATCGTGCTGGAGCGGTTGGCCGAGAGAGTTTGGTACACTAAATTCCAATCCTCACTCTGAATATTCACCTCGCTACTTCTCTTATTTTTCGCTACGTTCCCAACACCTGTTACATCCATATATACATAATCTTTACTTAAACACGATAATTTTTAAAGCTATAAAAGCTTTTGGGGTCGTGTGTTTAAGAATTAAACTAACCTAATCTACATTAAAACATATATACAAATTATATATATATCATAGGGACACAGTAAATAGTTAGCTCAGGGTCTGAGCTTGACGATGAGTCCAACCAAGACGGCAAGTCTCCTATGAAAATTCTCACCGCTGGGGATATTCTGGGCCTTTTTGAGGAATGTTTTCAAAAATTCGGGTACATGTACATTATAGGCGATCAAAGGACTGCGATGGCTCGCGATTTTTCCGTGGAGGGTTCATGCGTGGAAATAAGTTTGTTTTCAATCCAGAAGCTAATTCCTTGTTGTTTCGTGAATTCTTGCCTTGAATAAAACAACATCAGTTTATAATGCGTCGGAAATTAAGGAAATCAAATCATTCACTACTAGACATATTAAATTCTGCAAGCAGAATACTGCAATGCTGATCGTACTAAGTGAAAATGCACTCTGCAAGACATCAATACGACACCGAAAGAACTAAAACAGAGCGGGATTGTAGCCATAGACAGCTGTTTCGCCCTTTTTGGGGCTCGTCAGTATGAAGTAACAACCAGAGAAAATTCTGATGAAAAATATCGGCACACTCTGATTAAAGCCCTGACCTAGAACACCCACCATCCACAGAATAACGCCATATCACGTGTCTTCTGGGGGACAAGAGTCCAAGTGTCAAGTTGATGTCTCGCAGAGAAAATGAAGGATTGGCCAAAACCAACCTCTAAAATATGAACAGAACCATGCAAGAATGTTTATTACCGAAAATAGTTTCGATCAACAACAACAATTAAGCTTTATTTTCATTACTATAACAAAGTATTACAGTATTGCAAAAGATACTTGAATTTAATTATTGATTCCTTTTGAAATATTTAAAATAACTTTAAATATAATAATCATTGCTTATTTTCAACCATCAGTAGGATTAATTATTCCGATCATTTCCTGATAAGACTGAGTGTCAAATCAGCCATTGCAAAGCTATCTTTTGAGAAGCCCATTACTTTAACAAAGAACAATAACCAACCAAAAAACATATTACATGGTCTGGGATAGTGACTTGGATACTCTGATAGTAGGTTTGTCAAGAGTTCATGAAGAGGTTTGAGTTAGTTAATGAATGTATGGATCAGTTTAGGTTTCTAGGAAACTGCCCACCTGCCCCTCCCCTAAGCCAACATCAATACTTAATTCTCGCTTTGGGCAAAATGATGGCTTAGGGGAGGGGTAGGTTGGCAGTTTCCCAGAAACCGAAATTGCTAATGTTTGATGAAATAAAGAATTTACCTTCTATTCTTTCCTTTTTACGCGATAGATGTGTCACCCACAGGGACCCTAGACTGTGAAATAACTGCACAGAAATGCCAACCGCCTTTTCAGACGATAACAGTAACGCCCAAAGACTATAAAGTGACTTTGAACTGCTCGATTAAGAATGGTGGAAAAGTGCAAGACATGACCTGGCAGGACCTTGAAAAACACCTCAATGCCAGTGACGCTGGTCTGTTCGTACAACAAATCGATTCAAAGAATAGAAGTCAGCCACGTGAATGTTTTTCTATAAAATACGCCAGTGAGTATGTTCTTTTTTTGCCCTGTCTGTATCAAATTGATAGGGAGAAAAATATCATAATGAGCCCACCAGTTTTTTTGTGTTTTTAAATGGATTATAACGAATCCTATGAATGCCTCGTAACAGGTTTAGGCAGATTCAAGCTCAGCGGAGGCAATTTTTACCGTAGGAGTGATCGTAAAAACGGTTGAAGTTATAGCCAGCTAAATCACCTCACTTGAACATGGTTCACCGCGAAACTCTAGTTACTCATGCCATGCTGGAGGGTAAGAAAAGCAAAGGGACATGACAAACAACAAACAAAGGAATCATTTCAAACGATGTTAGATTTTTGTTTGGCTTGACTCAGTGCATAGGGCCTTGCTCTCCAGTATGGCAGGTTTGTGCTACAAAAATGACTTACTGCAAAGGGCCTATTTAAAATGAACAAGGCATGGAGTAAAACATGGTTGGTTGGAAGGTTTCGGTAAGAGAGATGACTGAAGAAATGATGACCGTCGACGAGGGCAGTGAAAATGTCGCTAAAAAAATAAATTTGCCTCATTTCAAATGTCATCGCGTCTATTTGTAGCCTCCCTCGCAGGCCTTTTTAGGGGAGCTCGTCTTTCATCCCTTCCCACAAACGCCTGCTCAACCGAAAACAACATGCCTTTCCCAAGCTTAGCCAATCACATTGTACTTTCCAAATCCTGGAAAGTTGACCTTAACCGCACGGTAATCTGACAATTACTCGATCTCACATGAAACACTTGGAGAGCTTTCTGACCATTAATAAATGTTAGATTCAGAGCGGCAAAAGTAAGATTTAGTTAAAGTTTAGAATACTCCATACACTGCATAACCTTAGCGAAGGAAAGAAAAGAGGGAAAACGGTAACTCCAGGGTCACGTTTTAGTCATGTTTAGCCCGTCAACACTCTATTTTAAAACTGTTGATTGGTCACTTACCACGCAAATAAAACAATGGGAAAGGAATGTTGTGTTCGGTTGAGCAGGCGTTTGTGGGGAGGGATGAAAAACGAACTCCCCTAAAAACGCCTGCGTGGGAGGCTAGTCTATTTGGAGCTGCTTAATTTGTCAAATGTAGACGATTTCTCTTGGAGTTGAATTCTTAAGGACTTTAATCAGGTTCAGAAATAAAAAGGCGAATTCGTCGTCGTATGTTCACTTTCTCTATAAAACGTCGCATTATTAGGAGGTTTCACTTGATAGTCGTGCAGTGAACGTCAAAGAAATGTACTAAGAAGCTTGATGCACGTGAAGCAACTGTTCTTTTCATGTTAAAACCAATTGTTTTTTGACGTTGTCATCGTGGTGGTTAAGATTTTCACATTTCAGATTTTGATTTTTTTTTCCACTAATTCAAGAGGTTGCTATAAAAATTACAAGTATATTACAAAAACAAGAAGAAGAAAACCAGCAAATTACATAAATCCTGATCAAAGGTGAAATGTGCGCAGTCGTGTTGGTCACTTAAGCTCCCTTCAAAGTTTAAATGACTGGGTGCATGACTTATGAGCTTTGAAATTAAGACGAAGAATTCCTTCTTAGTTCCAGTTCAGAGAGTATTTAAGACAAGTTCTCCCGTTGACTACTATCCTGACACGAGAGAAATGGAACTGAAGTGTACCTTCAAGGGATGGCCTCGTCCTCGTGTAGTTTGGTACAGTCCAGATAACAAACAAATCATCAACGGATCTGAAGGTTTTTACATCTCAGAGCAGCTGGATGGAAAGGATACCTTACGTTCCCTTCTCCGTAATGCTAATATCCAAGAAAAACACGAAGGGGCTGCTTATAAATGCACTGGAATGAACAACATGACCGGCTGGTCTAGTAAAAAATCAGGGTATATTGACCTGAATTATCGCTGTGAGTCATTTAATTTCTTATTTCTAATATTACACACGGATGTGCAAAACTACCTCCTTTGAAGCAGGTTCATAAAAAACATAATACCATGTTTCCCCTGTAAGCAATGGAAAGTATCCCATTTAGACTAAGAGAGACAGCTCATTGTCTCTTGATTTAGACGGAATTAAATATTAACTTATTCCTAACTGAATTTTAAAAAAAATGTAACTGACAATTTCGTGCCACCTTCCTCTTCCATTCAGACTAAATGGACGCTGGAACTTTTATTTGTTTTCCCCTCGGGTCACAAGGGATAATAGCCTGCTTGGCAGGCGCAAAAAGGGGAGGGAGAGGAGGAGGGAGAAAAGCACGAATGAGGGGAAAGGGAAGGGAGCGCCTGCTCTAAGAGCCAGTGTTTTTGTAATCCGCCCACCATTTTCTCAACTAATCCGATAATGTCACTGTCAATACGTGACCAATCACAAGTACGGGGCTTCTCAGCATGGTCGGAACTTAATTACTTTGTTTACCGGAAATTTTCAAGTTGAGACGCTTTTTTTCAAGTGATATCATAATCGAGCGAAATGAAACATTTTTACTGTTTTTGCTCCCGCAGCAAACACGACAAACATAGACCACGAGCAGTCTCTCATTTTTTTCACTTCTCGCAGTCTACGACAAACAATGATCAGTCTCGTGTGAATACACAAGACCTTTTCTCTTACAACCTCATCAAGCACCGTGATGGTCACTGAAGAACAGAACACTGGCCAGCCTGAGACGCGAATAATGAAAGTAAAGGAGAAGTATAAACAACGGATAGTTTTTACCAAAGCTTCAGCTCTCTCCTTGCAAACCATTTAAAACTCCATTCAAGACGGCATATGTTTTTACGGAAAAGGAGGTCTTTTGAAAATCGGCATTGCAAATGTCTGGCAAGAATCGCAATCGCTTTGAGTCGCTGCTCAGTGTATGGACAAATCCAGTGTACAAAGCCTCCTGAGCATCTCTGCCTGCTAAACAAGCTGTACAGTTGGTTTTAGTTTTGGTTTTAACGTGGCGTTGCTACATGATTGGACTAATTTTGATCTTACAAAGCTTCTGCCAGTAGAACACATTTTCTTGATGCCCTCGTCATGTTTGGCTCTCATACTAAGGGACGGACCATTAGAAAACTGGGGGGGCGAAGTACAAAAAAGATATTCGCGCAAGGCAAAATTAAATGAAAAAAAAATTCATGCACGCCATATAACCCTTAAAAATATTCATGCTACGGCCTAAAAAAAATTCATACAAGGAACTTGAAAACGAAAAAAATTCCTGCGGCTCAAAAATTCCCCTCCCCCCCCCACCTAAACTTTTCTAAAGGTCCGTCCCTAATACACGCCAGGATACACGCTAATAAGTTACTCATTACGGCTCAGCCAATCAGAAATAAGAATAAGAGAGGGTTCTTATAGCAGGCTTCCCTTCCCCTCTCTCCCCTACCCCCTTCCCTTTTTCACTATCCCTACCCCTTTCGACGCCTGCTACGTAAGCTAAAGGGATACGTAAATAAGTAAATAAATAAATAATGATTTAGTGGCACTAGCTCATCCACAAAGGGGTTCTTTGTCTACCATTCTGGCTCAAATTTACCTTGCGCAGCTGGCGGGATTAACGTGGGAGTGATGTGTTGTTTTGGTGGCAATGGCGGAATAAGGGTGAGAACCAACAAAATTCAACCTGGCCGGCCACATCTGATGTTGCCTGAAGAATCAAGCACAGGACAGTCATTAATGAGAGGGGCGTGTTCTCACCTGAACTTCAGTAGAACCTCTATATAACGAAGTCCTCGGTATAATTAACAATTATTCCACTTATTCCACGCGCGAGTGTGCGTTAGATATAAGATGGTAGGGGAGCCAATGAGAAACGTAGCATCGAGTTGGCTTTAATCATCTCATATCCAACAAGTGCGAGTGGAATAATTATTCTATTAAAAACGCCCACAAAATATCGAGAATTCTTCCCGACTTTATTTGTAAACCAACCCATTTTCATCTTGTTTTTAATTTTGAGCAGACGCGTACAGTTGCCATATTTAAAGCGCATGGTATAACGGCTCATATACCATGATGGCTAAGCCAATCAGAGCTCTAGAATTGCATTATCCAATGATTCAAGTTTTAATGATAAGCGATATTCTCCTCCCCAGAAATAATACAGTCAAACCCCGCAAATCCCGACACTGAAGGGGCCGTACTAAGAAAGAGTCCGTATTAACGGGGTGACCTTATTAAGCGGGTAGAAAATGAAAGGGCTTTCTGTCCCCAGGGACAAAGCAAACTGTCCGTAACAATGAGATGTCTGTATTGACCTCGATATAACAAAACCTCTTTATGGCGAGCATATTTTGCCAGTCCTTTGGGTCTTCGTTCAGCTGTTCGTTACATCAAGATTCCAATGTAAAGTGTTATGTGATTGTTAAAAGGAGAAAACGAGCCCCCAAATAGCTATTGAAATCAACCCTTAGTAGCAAAGGCCATATTGGTGGGAGGTAACAGAAGTGGGGTTCATCCGATCAACCGATCGTTACAGCATCTCTAAAGACGGCGTGACTAGACAAGTCGCAAAAGACGGAACCAGTGGGATAAACAAAATCAACACGTAAAAACTCCAAAGCGTTGTGATGCCCCATATATTGTCACAAATACTAAGGAGGGGAGCCGCCTACGGTTGCACAAAAAAATGGTAACGATTTTCAAATAATAATTATTCATCATATTTTCTTATCATTTAATACAGGTTTCTTTCCTAAAGCTCCGAAGATTTCTTTCCCCCAGGTGCCGGTGGAAGCCTACTTCAATGTCACTTTAGAGTGCAAAGTAGGTGTTAGGCCAAGCGACTGTTGGGACAATTCTTTACGGTGGTATTTTAACAACAACTCAGGGAAATTAGAATCTGGTAAAAAGTATGATATACAAGAAAGGAAAACCAACACCAGATGCAAAATAGATTTTATTCTCACCATTGTTAACGTTACTGAAGCAGACGAGGGAAAGTATAAATGTCAGTGGCTCTGCGAGGAGGACTACCCCAGCTTATCCAGGTCTTCAATTATCCAGTTGAAAGTATATTTTCCTTCAAAAAAAGGTACTGTTACTCTTGTGATATCTAAAAGTCTTGTGTTACGAAATTTATTCCTGGATATGTGCCGCTTGCCTGTCAGAGCTCCTACGCCATTATAGTCTATTGTGTGGCCAATTATAGACCCCATCTTAGTCACTTTTGGGCAAATATGTAATTTTCGCGATCCCAACTTAGTCACTTTCTACTTTTATGAATTGACCCATTTATTAGATTGAATGAAGAACACTTTACTTTTCATCTGCAGTACAAACATTCTGGTACGTTTGCTAGCCGTAAATATGGAGAACTGTCTTACCCCAAAAAATCCGAAAATGTGCTACCCCATTTCATTCAATCCAGTCTTGAAAATGGGACCCCATCCAGCGGCACATCCCCATTAGCCTCTTATAAGGAAGTACTCCCTCCACCCCACCCCCTCGGGCTCAAAACAGTAACACAGCAAATGCAAAAGGAGCCGTGTCATGTGAGGACAAGCTTGAAGGGTTGAAACCGATTGCAACTGATTTTTTCATTAGAAAACGGAGAATCCAATCCGAAGAATAACTCACAATTGTATAACAGTAATTTTATTCGATCTGAAATCAAATTGTACAAATATATTCTATTTAATAAGTGCAATCAAATAATTGATTCATGAAACTAGAAAAAGCGGAATAAATGCCGATAAAAGCTAAAAGTTGATACAAGCGAAGTCACGTGGTTCTTAAAGGAAACAAACTCAATTTAAGCTACTTTAATTCTGTTTAAAAGGTAACGTAAGAAAGACTAAATTAACAAAACGAAGATAACATACAGTTCACTTACTTCTATAGTGAGTTTTCTCAAATGTCCTCGAATAAACATTAAAATGGCGGATTACAAAGTAGCTACGTTTCTAGCGTTTATCGTAGCAGATACAAATGGCGTCGGGCGAAAATTGTTAGCCCCTGAACGTCCAAAATATAAGTCTTTGTGCAATAGTATGAAAAGCTGACTGAACGATTTGGAAACCTAGCTCTAATTTCAAAGTCACTGATCAATAAGTTCCTGGAGATATCAGCAGATCAGGATGACAACAATTTGACAGCTCGCGCAACATATATTGTGAGAACATTCATGGAGCAGGCTTTAGACCAGCAACTAATATGCAGCAGATTGTTACAAAGCTAGCTCCAAAAATTGTAGTAAGGTGAAGCAGGCAAAAGTCAAAGCTACAGCCCAAATAAGTTGACCTTAGTGACCTGGTGGCTGAAGGTTGACTTTAGCGACCAGTGGCTGAAACCGACAGTCAAGTCCAAGTGATAGCCTTTGGTTGCTCCAGTAATAGAGAATCCTGAACAAGAGAAACCCAAGACAAATTCAAACAAATCGAAGTGGCTCAGGAAAAAGAAAATGCGAACGCAATTTATGCAATTGACCTGCTGCCAACGTCAGTGGCTTCATAGCTCATTTGGTAGAGCATCGCACCGGTAATCGCGAGGTCACGGTTTCAAACCCCGTTGAAGTCCTGAATTTCGTTTTTTTGTTTTTGTTTTTGTTTTTTTTTTTCAGGCTTCTTTACGCAATTGCATAAATTGCGTTCGCTGCGACCATCATTTCTTCATTTTCATTTCATTTCCGCAGTTCATATATGATTTATTTCATATATCAATAATACTCATTTCTTTTACGGGAACATATGAGCCCACAATTGACCTGCTCCCAACGTCAGTGGCTTCATAGCTCAGTTGGTAGAGCATCGCACCGGTAATCGCGAGGTCACGGGTTCAAACCTCGTTAAAGTCCTGAATTTTTTTTTTTTCAGGCTTCTTTACGCAATTGCATAAATTGGGTTCACTGCGACGATCATTTCTTCATTTTCACAAATCACTTTGGGGGGAATTATTGAGAGGCTCAGTCAAAAAACAAGCAAGTTGCATTAAGTGAACGCTTGAATCAAGCCAGCTTATTAGTAGAATGATGCACGATTACAGAAATTTGCCTACAATTCATTAATGTGCTGACGTATTTCTCTTTACAAATTTCCCTATTCATTTCCAAATTCTTTCCCCGGCTGTCAAAATGAATTGCTTGTAAAAAGTGCAAGAGGAATAAAAGAAATTACACCTTCTAATAAAGTCTTTCCTTATAGTTAAAAGAATTCTTGAAACTGAGAATGTTTTGATCAAAGCAACGTAAATCGATTTCAATCAGTGCATGGAATCTTGCGTTTTCTGATATCAACATGAATCTGTAAATTTCAAAGAGCTACACAAGAGTCATACAAAGGCAAAGGATACAATTGACCAAAAACAAAAAAAGAAAAAGGGACGTATATAAGAACCAACACCGGGGCATATGTTTACCTATATTAGTAATCGTATTTGTTTCTCTTTTCATTTGAAAGTTCCTTTTTTTGTATCGATGAAATGTTGAGGACGTTTCCCCTTTACCAACTTTATTTGCAGATTCATCGACACCATCGACACAAAAGACTACAAACTCAACTTCAACAGGTCAGTGATGTTAAGGGGTGGTCACTAAGTATAGTGTTGCAATGGGACTAATTGTACGTAGTGGCGGATCCAGACCCTGAGATAAGAGGGGGCGGTCTTAAAAATTTTTTTTTCGACCTTTCGGGTCTCAGTTTGGTCCAAAAATAACGGGGAGGCCCGGGCTCCTTCCTTGGATCCGGTTCTGAATTGCCAAACAAATCTAAAAATAGTATCCAGATCTTATCGCTTTTCAAATAATAAGAAACATTGGAAGAAAACAGAACCACTCTGAGTCGGCCCTGAGTCGCTGGACTGTTATGGCAATTCAAAAGTAAAAACCGGGTGTCAGTAAAACGCGGGGTCCCGGCCGGGGTCGGGGTCTATGTCTTTTTTTTATAGAATACCGTTTTAAGGTTAGGATTAGGGTTATGTTAGGGTTAGGGTTAGGGTCCTAACCCTAAAACAGCATTCTTTGAAAAGAAGGTAGACCCCGATCCCGGCCCCGACCTCGCGTTTTACTGACACCCGTAATTACCGACGAGTTGCATCTTGCTCCAGTCTAAAGACATTTTTTCAACAAATTAACAAAATATAGGATCTGTGATAGTACCACAGTACAGTACCATTAAAATTCCAGGGGGAGGGGGGGGGGACTCCACATATGAAAGGGGGGATGCTCGTCAGAAATTTTGAATTAAACTCCTAAAGGAGACCGGTCTGGGCGTTGCCCAAGCTTTTTTTTTATCCCTAAAAGAGGCCATGTGAAAACACAAACAAATGAGAAAACTTGGATTATATGAATGGAGTAAATAAAACGAATTAAAAGTATACTTATCAAATATATATTTTTATATTTTTTCGCGTGCAACCCTAAACGAGACCTTCACGGCTAAATATGATGGCAAAATTCAGGCACGTGTACGGGGTTTGCTCTGGCGAATTGTGATTGGCTAGGAAGAAAAATTGCCTTCTATCAAGTATTTTTCCAGCAGGGAAGGGTGGCTTTGGGCAAATGGTGTATCGGTCTCCAGAAAGGTCACCCCAGGACTCCCGGGATGGATTTTTTTGGTAAAGTGCCCAGGCCCCATTTTCTTGGCCGCGCGTTGATCTGGCCCGGCCACTTCGGCGAGCATGTTCTCGGTCTTTTGGGTTTATATCCTTCGAGTTTGTCAAAGTCTGTGGGATTCGTTTCTCTATCTGTGAAAGCTTCATTGGTTTTATATCTGCTGCTATTCTATTCTCGGTTTTCACTGTCACGCAATCAAAAATAAAATTGCAAACCATTCAATACAGAAAGTCCCGAATCTAGGAAATAAAAGAAGATAAATAAGCAAAAGGCCTCGCCAAGAATCAGGTCTGGGCGATATTTCATATGCGAGATATTAGGAAAAACGTTTTACCCAAATTTACAAAGCTTTGTATGGCGACGCCATGTTTGTGTCCCTTTGCGGGGCACAAATATGGCCGCCGGAAACCAACAGAAACATCTGTTTTTGATTTTTCCTACTAATGCGTTAATTCATCGCTTGAAAAACTCATAAACTATTAAAGTGATATTTATTCTGAGACAAAGAATGTTTAGACAGCAAAATCTCCCAAAATTGGTAATGTTTTTAACCCACATAAGAGCCGTTGTGGCCGCCAGCTAAATGCCGCGTCACGCAAAAGCCTAGAAATTCAAACGTCCTCTATCGCAAAACGAAGAACCCTTTCGAACCAAAACTCTTTTTAAATAAAGGTGTTTAGGTGCTGTAATACCTCATGAAACTCAGAAACTCAGAAGAATCGATAGTTTCTTAGTTTGAATTTTGGTGACGTCATGTGAAAACCGAGAATTTATACTATGCTGGCATGTTTATTTACCGTTGGAGTTCGAAAAAGTTGTGTTGAAAGGGAGCATGGCGGCGAAGATGGCATCTCGTGTCTCCTACCTTGTATATTATTATTTTATATAGAGTGAATTTAAACAAATTATCACGAAATTTCGTAGGAGTATTAAGAACAACAACAACTGCAGAGTAAGTTTCATTGATCTTTATTTAGTATTTTCTAGAAATTTTAGAATCGCATTTTTACCCCATACAAACATTGTAATTTTACTGGAACCGTACTGTGGTACTATCACAGAGCCTGGGTTACCTGTGGTAGGCCTTTCCCGATTGTGCTCGGCAACTTTTGGCGTTTGGGGCAATTTTTTTCGGTTCTAGCAACCTCGAGCAAATTTTGTCTTTCTGAACAACTTTTGAGCAAAGTATAGGTTTAGTGGCCCCTCGGTCTAAAGCACAAATCAAACTCGAAAAAGTCAACGATTTCGTGAAAACTTTTATGTCTTTAATTTCTTTTTGAATTTTTTTGAATTTTTTTGAAATATTTTAGTTTTTTTTTCTTGACCGATGTTAGTAATTATTGTGAAGAACGAAAAATAAAGCTTTTAATTAACGTTTATGTAAAAATATCAAGAAATTTAGGTGGCAACTTTTGAAATTTAGATAGCAAATTTTTGGGCATTCCAGTGAACAACTTTCCAGCATTTTACGAGCACAATTGGGAAAGGCCTGATCCTGGGAGGATACTCCCCATAATGGCATATACGGGGGGCTCAAAAAGGGGTACTTTTTTCAGGCATTAGATCGATGAAAGGGTAAGGATTTTACTTGTTAAACTACATGAAAGGGTGGTTCTATCTCAGCGATCGTCGTCGCTGCGCACTCTGAAAAGTCAGGTTTCCATATGATCGCTATGATTGCTGCGATAGCTGAACTTTTTTTTCTCAGCGATCGCAACAATCAGGGCGAGCGTAGAGATCGTAGCGATCATATGGAAACCAGGCTTTAAGCTCCCTGTTAGCCTGCGTCGGGTGGCAGACATAATATACCAGTCAATAACAAAACTGCCCATGCCCCCTCGCAGACCCCTGGAAATCTGATCAAATTCCCGGGTATGTTGGCAGTTAAGATGATAAAATACCCCACCGGCTAGCGCTTCAAAAAGTGTCAAATCCCCCACTCCCTTAGCGGCCATTCATGATGAAAAATTTTCTCCATGCGTCAAACCGTTTATTCAAATCTAAATTTCCTCCTAATCACAACCGACATATCTCAAGTCTAGGAAAACTGTCTTACGGAGATTTGTTCATTCCAATAACATTGTTCATTTCAAAAATCCCACATTTAGCGGACTCTTTCAAGCTACGTGCAAACGGACCCAATGTTGGGAGTTTTTGGCTAACAATGATGCTCCAACAATGTTGCGTCCGTTTGCACGTAACATCAAAAGCTCTCAAATGCTCCAATAAAATAGTGAATATAGGAGCAATGACGTCAATAATCCTTGAACGTGATGTACACGCTGAACGAAACGCTGACCAGCATTTTGACACGAAAGTCAATGCCCGACAGGGGGGGCCTCATTTTGGGTCAAATTTCCCACTGTACGGAAAAATACCCGGGGTATGCCAGGGGAGTGGGAGGTTTTGGAATTGACTGGTAAATAATGTAACCCTTGTTAGAAGTTTAGTTCCGTCTTTTGCGCATGCTAGCTAGATGGATTAAGCCTCGATACTGATAAACATTCGGCTGGTGCACGATATACTTAGCGAAGCGAATAGGTTCGATACTGATAAACATTCGGCTTTTGCGCATGCTAAATAGATTAGGCTCGATAGATACACGATATACTTAGCGAATAGCAAGTCTTTTGCGCATGCTAGCTAGATAGATTAAGGTTCGGTACTGATAAACATTCGGCTGGTGCACGATATATAGCGAATAGCAAGTCTTTGGCGCAGGCTAGCTAGATAGATTAAGGTTCGGTACTGATAAACATTCGGCTGGTGCACGATATACTTAGCGAATAGCAAGTCTCGAGTTACGTCACAAAGAACACAACAATGATCCTTATCCCTTTCACAATAACACAATAGACTTCACACAATAGAACAAGACAATTGTGCATATTGCCTTGGTATATCGAGCATCCTCCAAACATTCGCTCATTTGTTTAATACTCACTTTTAACTGAGTCTGGATTTCTAATTTCTTTGGAATAGCAACATCAGATACAGAAGCAGCAACAACCGACCAGGGTAACAGCAAGTCAGCTGACAAGTGGATTCCTGCGATTGCGATTTTGACGTCTGGACTGGCCTTGTTTTTGATTTATTAGTAAAAAGTTTGGCAGAGGATGCCGCGCGTGGTATAAGATGACATCCGATCATTTATCAAGCAAAGAAAATCACTGAGAGGGACTTCGTCACGAGGATGCTTGGCTGAGATCATTACTTAATGCCTCACAAAATGCTCAGTTAGATATAAGAAGAAGATTCCACACAAATTTTATCAGGGAGCACTAACCATAATATTTTTTGGCGATTTCTGTAGGCAGAGCTTCAAAATTTAAAATGTTGGTTTTAACTGTTTAAGCTTTCAATCCATGTCCATCCTTGCCATCCGTTGCAACAGAAGACAGGAAAAAATTTCAATGCCTAAATTACATAATTCTATAAACATAATATATAGATTTAGCCAGGGCTAAAAGCGACGCTCCCAGTAATGAATTTATAATTTAAATCAAACAATAAACCTGTATTTCACAATTCAGTTAAAACTTTAGAGCACATTCATGTGACTTTTGAGGGAAAGGCTAAATGATTTTAGAAAAAAATAATTTGCAAACAGCCCACGATAGCCCAAGAGAGCCTCATATACAACCCCAAAATAGCAATCATCTTCGATCACCATAATGGCTCTTGATCACCGTAGATTAATTAGGCCTGGAAAAAAAAAATCAGGCCGAATTTTCTGAGTT